AAATAACAATAGTTTAATAGTGAAAAAAAAAGGCAGTTGTTTTAAGCAACACATTTATTTTTCAATATTGTTTCACAGCGGATATTAATTTTTTTTTCACAATAATCTTCTTCCTTGTTAGTGCATCTAACTGTACTTCTCTATTAATCAGGCTACAGACTTATTGATCTACTCTCAGATGTAAATTAATGTATATTGTACAATGTGTGGAAGCCATTTTGGTATTTGCCATAACTGATGAATGCAATATACTGTGAACACTCAGATATAATGACTAAAATGTACTTAAATAATTTAAAGAATTAAATAAAGGTTAACGGCTTGTTTATTCCAAGTTTCGAGACTTAAAAGGCGTGAAATATTTAATATGGATCCCAGATGTAAATAAAATTCTTTGGTTTGTATATTGTGCAAGCATTGGAACAAAGCAGAATGGGGTTAAGAAATAGTTTAATAGGTCAGTATTTGGGACCTGAGATATATATATATATATATATATATATATATATAGTGTAATTTATTTTATAAGTAATTTTTGAAAACATAACACTAAGACTTTAGATACTCAAGTTAATGTAAGAATCATGTGCTGGGATTTTACAATCTTAATATTCTTTACTGATGAATGGATTGATAAATAAAATGAAAAAATGTTCCAAACATTTGAATTTTTTTTAAACATTATTATTATTGGTATTATTTACATAACCAGTGCTTCTTATTGGTTTGCCTTACTGCCTGTGATGGTCTCTTATTAATTACTTTCTTTGAGTTCTGGCTGTTCTTAGCCTTATCTCTGTTATAATTCCTGGCAGTTGTCAAGGCTTGGATCACCATTATGATTTTTCACAAGCTCAACATATTTGATCTCTATTTTAAAATCCATTTCTAACCAGCTCTTAATGTCTGTCAGAATTGAAGAAATATAATATCTTGGTTTTTATTTTTTATTAAATGAAGCATTTCACACCATTATTAATTTTTGACTCATTTCTTTTCACTTAATTTCCTTGCAAACTACACGGACCATCTATTTATAACCATTAGTAATAATAACAGACGATAATTCATTTCCTAAAATTCAACACAATATTACAACTAATTTTAATGGTGTAATGTATGCATTGCTAGTTTCTAGTATTCAAGTGTTCTTATCCTCTGTGGGGGTTAGCTAATTCCTATTTCAAACACAGGCTCAGGCATGTTTGTGTTTTCTTTAACACGCACAAAGTCAACCCGCGGTTTAACACGCACAAAGTCAACCCGCGGTTTAACACGCACAAAGTCAACTATACTGATCAGACCTTAGTTATAGTTTCTGGTAAAAAGAGTGCATCACCTGGCATGATCAACAGTTCAGGTTGAACAAAGTTACTCTGTACATTATTTACATTATTCGGACTATTGTCCTCATCTTTGTCGCCATATTTATTACAACGTTTCAGCCGTTGTACGCTCCGGCCTTCTTCAGGTGGTTGGAATGTCGAACTGAACCCTTTATTTCGCTCACTGGGGTAGACTGTTCTAGTTCCACGTACCATGTTTTTAATAGATGTCTGTTATCAGTTATCTCCTGTTAATTTTCCCTCTGAAAGTTCTCCACTGCCTTAACCGGGTATTGAACTCACACTCTTTGGGTCCTGTCACTGGATCTAACTAACGCCTTTATCCACTGTGCCATGTGTCCTTGAGGATACTGAAAGTTAGTCTGATCAAATTTTTGGTCATGATGATTTGTAACTCCATGCTAACATACAACCATTGACAGCTTCCAAGCAGTTCTGTTTACCCAATTTCACTCACAGGGCTTGAATCAGCCTGTAGTATGGTTCTTTATTTTTGATCCTTAATGTTTATTAATGACTAAAGTTATACTCTGAGTTATCTTGGATGAAATTAGAATGAAAGACATACTAATTGAAAATTAATAACAAAGCTACAGAAATTATCCAGGATAAGACTATGATGATGGTTTTATTAAAAAAATTAAAAGGTACAGTTGAGTTATTTTTCTTTAAAGCATTGTTTTTATTTCCTTATTTGACCAAATATTCAAACTGAATTCTGAAAAAGTTACTAAGAGAAGTCAAGGTGTTTCTCTTTTGCTTGATTTTTGTACCAATTTTTTTACAAACAATATTAAAAGACTAATAATTTTTTTTATATACAAGTAGTATAATGTTTATCAGTATTAAAAGTGAAATCAGAGAGCCAAGTTCATATTCTGGCATAGTCTGTTGTGTTCACTTTTGAATAAATCCTCTTGGGAAAGGTATGAATTCATTGCTTCTCTCTCCAGCTCTGGTTTAAATAGCAAAGTATGCTGGGTTCCCTAGCCTTGGTTGGCAACCAGTCTAGAGGAAAGAAAACTCTGAATTCAAAACCAGAAAATTACTCCACTATCTTTACCACAATATCATAGCCATTTACAGATATAAAAAAAATATATCTGGAGAGCCTTGAAGGAACATGTCATAAAAATTTTTTTTTATAAGAAGCAGTATGGTATTCATATTAGTGTTTGATCAAGAATATATTCATATTACTAGATGTACTTTGCTGTTTTTAAAGACAGTAATTTATTATTTTACTTTGTTTTATTTGAAATGTATTATTTTATTTTATCCTAAATCACATGAGAGCATATATAATGTCATGACCTTCAAATGTCTGGAGCCAATGGGTACCAAATTATATTGTGTGTCAGTTTGAAATTTTCAGTTATATCATTGAGTGCTTAGAACCAAAAGCAGGAAATGATAAGAGATTTTAAATCTTAAGTAGGAAAAACATTCATTTCAACTGGTATATTAGATATAAGAAGTGTTTGTAATCAGAATATGTCAGTAGGAAACAAGAATTGTTAGTTTAGGATGCTTTTACAGCAGATATATTGGTTAAACCTGTGTTTTAACTTTGCATCTCATAGATGCTGCTAAGAAAACCGAGGTTTCTTGTTAACAAATAGAACAAATAAACTTTGCCTGTTTGGATGTCCAAGCAGGCTTGTCTGTCTAAAATGAGAATAGTTTTACCTTTTTAAATGAGATTTTGCAGGAAAAATATTTTAGCAAGATATTAACAAGATTTCATTGAAAATTGAGTTGTTTTTTCTTGAGAAATTTAAGGTAACACTTTCACATTTTATAGAACTATTTATAACTATTTTTTCCAGTCTTAATTTCTTAAAGTATGTGTGGGTGATGTAATGGATAGTGACTTGGAATGAAAAATTGGACAGCTGAGGTTGAATTCCAGTTGAGTTCATTATGTTAACTTTTTCACAAAAAAACATACAAGCAAAATTAAAAAAATTAACAATTTTTTTTTTTTTTAGATGCAAGTAGTGTTAAAAGTGAAAGCCAAGTTCATATTCTGGCCTAGTCTGTTGTGTTCACTTTTGCTTAAATTCACTTGGAAAAGGTATGAAACCTCTCCCAGCTATGGTTTAAATAGCAGGGTATGGAGGATTCTCTAGCCTTTGGTAGCAACCAGTTAAGGAGCAGTATAACTCTGAATTCAAAACTGGTTGGGCATGGTGCTAGCAGCTTCATCCTGTAAAAACCTACTTACTACAGGAACCACAATGGAAACACCTAGTGTAGTTGAGAGTTATGGGCCTCCATACTCTCCAGTTGAGTCTATGAGATTTGAATGAGTCATCCCTTAAAGGAGTAGTGGCACATCATAGAATATACTTCTCCAAAACAGTAGAACTAATTACTATTTTTGCTTATATATCAACAAAAACTTTTAAAAATATCCTTAGTTGAAATGTTTTTTATGAATTTCAAAAGTGCTTTATTTTATATTTTTTGTTAATTTAAAAAAAAAAAAATTAAACATTTGGATTAGAACAGGAATTCCAATAAGGAATATTCTGAATTTATATGAAAAGATCTTATTCATATTGATGACTTCTTAAAATAAAATGTCATAATAATTCAAAGATTTTTATATTCAGTTTTCTTTTCTTTTTTTCTTTTTTCTTTTTTTTCTTTTTCTTTTTGTTTTTCTTTTTCTGTTTTTCTTTTTTCCTTTTTTCTTTTTTTCTTTTTTTTTTTTTTTCTTTTTTTCTTTTTTTTTTTTTTTTTTTTTTTTTTTTTTCTTTTTCTTTTTTTTTTTTTTCCTTTTTCTTTTTTTTTTTCCTTTTTTGTTTTTTTTTTTTTTTCTTTTTTCCTTTTTTTTCTTTTTTTCCTTTTTCCTTTTTTCCCCTTTTTCCTTTTTTTCCCTTTTTCCTTTTTTTCCCTTTTTCCTTTTTTTCCCTTTTTCCTTTTTTTCCCTTTTTCCTTTTTTTTCCTTTTTCCCTTTTTTCCCCTTTTTCCTTTTTTTCTTTTTCCTTTTTTCTTTTTTCTTTCTTTTTTCCTCTCTTATATCAATATTATTCAAGAAGAAAAAAGTGACTCGTTTACAATTAAGTAAAAAAAAAAAAAAAAAAATAAACTGTGAAATCCCTAAGTTAGTATTCCAGAGCTAATATATTCAGCTACATGAGTAACTAGCATATTTTGCTTGCTTGCTTGTTTGTTTACTTCTAGGTTGGAGGTTCAAAACAACAGAGTTCACTTAATCTTTTTGTTTTCATGTAACAAAATCAACCAACAAGAAAAAATAAAATACCATAGTCATAATTAGAATTTTGAATTGCCCTGAGGTTAGGGCATTGAGATTGGTTCCGCTAACTCAGACACTTTGAATCGAATGGCAGAATGAAATTCTTGTTCTTGTTATTATTATTTAGAAAGTGTCAGCTTTTATTAATTATGTATTAATCATTTGGTGTACTTCAATGTGATATAATAGTTAATCTCATCTTGAAAATCATGGCTATGGTATAGTGAGTAGGATCCTTTGATGGGTGCTCCACACTTGCAATCTTGTACCAGACCAAGCTAAGCTTAGTAAATACATAGACAATAATCATTTTATATGTATATATGTATATTACTATTTGTATGTTGTCTATTCATTAGCGTCCCTATATTTTTCTTATTCATAAGCAAGGAAACAGCTAACCTTTCTTTCTCCTTCCCATTATCTATTCACTTCTTCTTTCCCTCTCATTTTCACTCTCTTAAATTCTATCATCTCTCTTCTCTCATTTGCTTTCTTCTTTTCCTTTCTCTCTTTTTTCATGATTTTTTTTTTAATATCTATTGTCTTTTTACCTTCTCTCTTTAAATAATCACCTTTTCCTTTTCTCTTCTGGTCCAGGCACAGCATATCCTGATTTTTAAAAAGAGCTTTTATTCTAATTGGCAGCTATTAAATCAGCTGTGGCCAACTTAAAGGAAATGAGTTGAATTGTTCAGAATTTACTGGAAGTTCTTTCATTGCTACTAACCACCCTCTATTGTTACTCTACTCTTTCTTTCTTTCTTTCTTTGAGTTTTCTCTCTCTTTCCCTTTAGTGAGAACGGACGGGTGATGGATATCCTGTTTACTTACCACAACACAGCACACCTGGAAGGAAGGCCTCCTTCTTACCATTGCACAGGATGTTAACTCTCCCACATCAATCCACTATCAACCTTACCCATCAGTCAGTTATGTGCCATGCGTGATACACGCTTAGGTGATTATGTATCTTTTTGATACATGACTGACAAGGTAGATTTTTTTCTCACGCAGTAGGTTGCCATTTCTTTCTGTGATAGACCAGTTGCCATCCAAGGCTATAGAATCCAGTTTGTCCTGCTATTTACCCATGGCTGGGGGGGAGAAGAAGAGGATTCATACCTTACCCAAGCATATTAGCATGTAAGTGAATGTAATGGATTCGACTGGAATTTGAACTCAGCTCTCTGATTCCTCAATCCAAGCCACTATCCATTACTCCACTGTGCCTTACCCATAAGTTTTCTATCTCTTTCTCTTTCTCTCACAGATCTTCCATCTTGAATGGTACTGCATGATATTTCAGCTACTGTTAGGATCAAAAGCTTGGAAAACCTATTCTTTCATGTCCTTTTGAACATAACATTTCCACATATGAGAAGCGGGGTGCTAAGAAATTCTCGGCCATGCCTACTTTCCCAAGACCGTGTTTTGAAGTTTGGTCATATAACTACTAACTGATTTTTGGGGAAATGGCATGTACTGCGTATTTTTCAACACCCCTTTGTATATTCATGAGTTCAATCAGATTGAAAGTTGGTATGCACTAAAAACTCAAAAAAAGAAAAAATGATTACCTTTCATCAAATTTTATCTTGATAATATAAAAATTTTAATTTTTAAACAGTTAATTGAAATAAAGACTTAATATTGTTATATTTTCAGCCAAATAGAACTATTTTTAAGATTAAAATGACCGTGCACTTTTCTTGTTTCAATGAGTCAGGAGGGTATACTGATTATGAACAAGAAAATATTTTTTATCATTAAAATAATGTATTCTACTACACCTTTTTAATATTTTAATATAATCATATTTGTCTATTACCTTTAACTTATCTACTATATGAGTTATACTCAGAAAACATTATATATTAATTATTGAAGAGCCATGAAACTCTGTCAGGGATGTGCCATGTAAATTCTCTTTCTCTCTCACTCATATATATATATATATATATATATATATATATATATATAATTGTAAAAAAATCAGCAGACTCCGCTACCTTGGTTTCAACCTTTCGGTATCTTTAGGCGATTTTGGCCAATATCTGCAACCTTTGTCAACAAGAAAAGTTAGCTATAATAATGTTTCCAGACCTTTTGAATGAGATATGGAAAATTATGACCTGTTGCATACATAATAAAAAATTGCTTTTCAGTTCATATGAACTGGGATGAAAAGAAAATATGTATATTTCATTTAAACTGATACATTTCCAATACCCTTACTTTTCTCCTCCTTCCCCTCCCCTTCTACCACACCTTACATTGTGTGCTTATTTATTTATTTTTAAATAATATAAGGTTCATTAATTTTTTTTTTTTTTAATAAAGCCTTAGGAAATCAATTAACTGAAATCACCACCTGAAGATGCTGAATGGTTGAAACCAAAGTAGTGGAAATTTTTATACGTGTATTGAGCACTTTTTAATACTACTGTTTCCTGGTCTAATTCATCTCTGCCCATTAACTTTTTTATTATATATATATATATATATAGTCATTCACCGACACACTGTTTCACTGTATCACAGCTCATCAGTGTGGCTAGACATGTGATTGCTTCAAGCTGGGATCAAAACTTGACTGATTTGATATCAGTCAAAGACTCTCACCCTTAGGCCATCAGTGCATGTGGTGGAAAAAGGGAATTTTTAATGCATTATATACGATTTACCAGAGTGCTGATGTTTTAGCATTAATTATATAAAAAATTAATATAAGTAAAAAATTTGTCTCTTAACTGATTGACATTACACTCATATCAATTCTAGAATTTCGTACATGAACCTGTACATCCATTCTTTGGGGTTAGCAAAAATATCAGGGATAGAGCATGTGTAAATATAAAAGTAGACATTGAAGTCAACACCCAGAGGTGACAGTCTGTTTCATGCTAAATGCAATCATCAGGTCTAAACAATTGCGTTTAGTATGAAACACTCTCACCTCTGGTTGATGACTTCAATGTCTCTCTCTCTCTCTCTATATATATATATATATATATATATATATATATATATATATATATATATATATATATATATATAGCTAGTAGCAAGTATATATCTCAACAAGTTTAATTAGAAAGACCTGCTAAGGTTTTGTTTAATTTTGCATTTTTCCAATTTTCAAATAAGGTATTCTCTCATACAGGGTGTGCGGCTGTGTTTAGAGCACTTGTGTTCAGAGCATAATGCTCCATGCAAGTGAGACCTGCTCCATAACCAGACCAAGCCTCCAGTGCTTGCTGCATAATGATTGGGCCATGATCAGATGGATCTGTGACATCAAGCCAGAGGATGTGGCCACCATATGATCAAGTGAGTTGTTGGTGTAGCTTGGTCAAGAGGATCTCAACCTCATTCTGAGAGAGAGAAGTTTTTGCTGGTCTGGAAAAGGGAACATTCCAGTGGTGCCATCATGTGCACCTGTGATTTTGAGGTTAAAGGAAGGCAAGTACCTGGGAGGCCCAAGATGTCATGGAGGGAGCTGACAGAACGTGATTGCAGAGAGTGGAAGCTCTCTGCAGCTGAACATCATGACAGATGCATTTGGAGATCTAGAGTGAGAACTGCCATGCACAGAGCTAGCCAGTTACCTGGAAGGGGGCCCACTGATGTGGATAATACTTCCGCACCTGCATGATAAACCAAAACAACTGATAAAAAAGATAAGTGGACACTGAGGTCAACACCGAGTGACAGCAGTCTGTTTCATGCTTGAACACAACTTTCAGGCCATGATTTTGTTCAAGCATGAAACAAACTGTCACCCCTTGGTGTTGGCCTCAGTGTCTACTTTTGGATTTACATATGCTCTATCCCTGATATTGAGCACTTTTACCCATAAATATAGCACACTTTAAAACTATATTTTTAAATATATAATATGCATACACATTGTATAACAGTTTCTAAAGCCTATCTAGTTCAGTTGTCATGTTTGCATATATATTTGTATGTTAGTTACTAAATGCATTTGATTTGTCTATGTGTATCTACAGGGTGTTAGGTATCTGTATATTGGGAAAAAGTTTCACTATTTAAATACTGATTCATGAAGTGAAGAAATATTCATCTTAAAAAAAAAAATTGGAAATTGTTTTCTAAGTTATTTTTTCTTACCTCCTTTTAATATTTCTGTTCAGTCTGTATTTAGCATTTAATGTTGTGTTCTCCTCTTCCCCAATTCGAGTTTACCTTCTATATTTCAGAATCAGTTTTTCTCCTAGCTTCTATCTTTCTTGGCTTTTCCCATTCACTCAAAGTTTATCAAAACTTTTCCATTCTTTCTTTGTCGTAATTTCATCAAAGTTCTTTTCTTTATCTCTTTTTTCAAGTGAGCATGAGCTTTTGCTTTTTATAGTTCTCCTTCTAGTTTTCATCTATTTTTTCTTTTTCTTACTTTTCAGTCTTCACATTCCATTTCTATGTTCATTTGCCCTCCATTTTTTTTTTTTTTTCAGCCATTATCTATTAATTTTTTTTCTTATAAAGTTTCAAACCTGATAAACATTTAAACAATGTATTTCCAGATTTTATATGACTCCTCCCACATTAAGTTTACTTGTACCAACTCTTTCTGTCGATATTATACCAACTAGTTCCTTATTTTGCTATTTGCTAACATGATTCCAAATTCAGTCTTTTTCTCTTCATTCTTCCAGTATTGATCTTCAGTTTTCCCATCCTTATTCTTACCTATATTTTTTTTTTATCTCACTTCACAGCTCTCTTCTCTAAATTTGACCCTGCACCCTTTTATCTGCCTTTTGCACACAGCATACTATGTTATCCCCTTCAAAGAATGCCTAACTAAATGAAGTTTTGGGTTTTATATCTGAGGAAACTCACTGAAGCAGCAGAAAGTGCCAACATTAAAGGCTTTACTGATTAAATAGTGTTCCAATATAGACCATGTCTTCTCACCCACCTGTCCATTGGATTACTTTAGAAATCTGTTTCTTTTTTTTTTTCCTCCTCATCCACCCTACAAACATTTGTTTAGTTCTATTGACCTTGATGACTTACAAACCTTTTTTTTTTTTTTCACCAATTGGTCTTTCCCAATAAAAGAACTGAATGTGAATAACTGCCAGGGAAATTAAACCCTCCCTAATCTTTTCCATTTATTTTTATGATTCATTTTTCTCTGCCTGTTGGTATTTCTCTCTCATCTTGTTTTGATATCAGGAATAAATAGATTTTTTTCTTTTCCTTTTGAAAGGAGATGAATTGATTATTAGGCAATGAAAAAAAGGATTGAAAAAAGAAATAATGGCCTGTATCAGTGATAACTATCTTAATTGTAAGAAAGTTCATTATGCTTGTAAGAATGTTTGTATTAATAATAATTGTAATTATTATAATAATAGTATTGTGTTAATATGGATTCTTTTGTTATTATCACTATTAAGTTACCCACATAAAATAATGAGGAATTCCTTCAACTGATTTATAATGAAATACTTTTGTGTTAATATGGATTCTCTTATTTTTTTCTTTTTCTTTTTTTTTTTTTGGTATTTGTTTTCACACCAGTAGCAACAGTAAAA